AAATACTTTGTAAACATTATGTCTTAATAATGTTGATGTTAATGGTTTATTAATGTTAATAAATGTAGTAATGAATTTTCACCAAAGCATTACCAAATCAATTACAGCAAAAGAAGAAAGAAAGTTGGAAAGGAAATGCAAAAACTTAGACTAATTTATAAGACAGGGACTGCCAGCATCTAGAAGATGAAATGTTCATTACACAATTAAATATTTAATGTTGTAATTTCTACAATAAAACTGAACTGCTTTCCCTTTTGTTTCCATACACATTTTAAGTTTGTCCTTTATTATTATTTAAATACAAAATACCCATTGATTTGCAATAAGCCTACAAAACAGAATATCAATACAATGTTTAATTATCCTGCCTGTCAAGTTTAACAGAATGTGTGGTCTAGTTCAGCTTACCTTAAATAGAGTGTGAGTAGTGTTAAACACAAGCAGACATCAGCCTATCAGGGACTCACAGCAATATTAAGATTAGTCTCCCAAAATGAGAAAATATATATATTTCAAATATATATTAAATATCTGTTTGCAATATATGAAACATGGCCCAAAATGTATTTCTTAAATATATATTTAAAATGCATTTATTTGTATTTGTTATTATATTTTTCAATTGTATGTGACTTACGAAATATGTGAATCACGAAATAGCTTTGTTTCACAGTTTCACAAACTAATCATTCAAATAAATAACAAACAAACAACAGTGGAATAAAAGGTCGTAAATTACCTATCCAAATAAAATCATCTATCACCTTATACTGAGGTAGGTGTGCAGAGGGCACGCATGGTCTCAGAAACTCAGAAATCACTGAAATCAGGCCTGTTTGTCGGGGTTGTGCAGAATCCTGACTCCCCTTCGCGTGCACGCGCCTCTCGCAGGCATAGGAACACTTCAGATTATACTCGCGATTTCGGTTGTTTCTGTGTGTAAATAACAGTTAATCCTCACTTTTCCTTCACAACAAACAGCACATTCTGAGATGAGTGATGAGTGTGTTGGTGGAGAAGGAGACACGGGCGAGGCTACAGAATAACGAATAACACACATACATTTTAGACCAACATCACACCGTCCCTTAAGGGGCGGAGCCACGGCGCAGCTCTGCATGACGCGCCTCTAAAGCACCTTCACAAAAGCGGAGCCGCCACAGTATTATATGAACAATATGAACACAGGACAGCGCACAGCTCACAGCTTTAATTGTTAGGTCTGGAGCTGTAACACAGTCACTATGACGAAGTTCACATCTGACGACGCGACATTACAATTAACTTATCTTATCATTACTGGGCGGAGTGACGTCCATTCCTCTTTGATTTCGCTGTTAGGTGGCGGGAGTCCCGTAGAGTCTCTTCCCCACATCACTTCAGTTTTTTGCTGATAGAATAGCTGCACTAAATATACAAACACCTATTAAACGTAATGTTGCCTCCCCAAATGCCAGACTAGGCTATCCTCTCAACACTCGATCTTTTCTGTCTTTATCAATTTTTAACCACGATCGCCTGATTTTTGAGCTTCTGTGACCACACGTGCCCTCTGCACGTTTATTTCACGTTAAAGTGATAGAACTTTTTACATTTGGATAAATAAAATATTTGAAATAAAAATATTTGACTATGAGCGAATCAGAAACTGCTAATTTAAATGATAACTCTCTAGGCCAATCAGAAAACGTGACCATCAAGTTCTCTCATACACTCTATCAAGCTCTCTCACACTCACTATCAAGAATGCCTTACAGTTTGATAGCGAGTGTGAGAGAGTATGATAGTGAGTGTGAGCGAGTTTGGTAGTGAGTGTGAGAGGTTTGATAGCGAGTGTGAGAGAGTATGATAGTCAGTGTGAGCGAGTTTGATAGCGAGTGTGAGAGGTTTGATAGCAAGTGTGAGAGGTTTGATAGCGAGTGTGAGCGAGTTTGATAGTGAGTGTGAGCGAGTTTGATAGTGAGTGTGAGAGTTTGATAGTGAGTGTGAGAGAGTTTGATAGTGAGTGTGAGCGAGTTTGATAGCAAGTGTGAGAGGTTTGATAGCGAGTGTGAGAGTTTGATAGTGAGTGTGAGAGAGTTTGATAGTGAGTGTGAGCGAGTTTGATAGTGAGTGCGAGCGAGTTTGATAGTGTGAGAGAGTTTGATAGTGAGTGTGAGCGAGTTTGATAGTGAGTGCGAGAGAGTTTGATAGTGAGTGCGAGTGAGTTTGATAGTGTGAGAGAGTTTGATAGTGAGTGTGAGCGAGTTTGATAGTGAGTGTGAGAGAGTTTGATAGTGAGTGTGAGCGAGTTTGATAGTGTGTGTGAGAGGGTTTGATAGTGAGTGTGAGCGAGTTTGATAGTGAGTGTGAGAGGGTTTGATAGTGAGTGTGAGCGAATTTGATAGTGAGTGTGAGAGAGTTTGATAGTGAGTGTGAGAGGTTTAAAAGTGGGTGTGAGAGGTAAGTTAGAATTTTGGCCTAAATGGCCTCTCATACTGAGGGGCTTCATGTTGATATTAGTCAAGTCATTTCTTTTCATTGTTAGTGAACAATGAAATTGTGTTGCATCTCCAAAAGGTGCCATTAGCATACACATATATGTAAATATACAAAAGAGAGTATAAAATATGAGTTAAATACAAAAACAACAAAAAATAAACAGTAATAGAAATAATATGTTGAAAAAAACATACACACAAACTGTAGTGGGAGAAGGCCACTCAGTGGTCAATTTCCCCCTAACTCCATAAACACAACCTACTTTAGGTTCATCTCAGGTTAGGGTTTTCCTGGACAGTGATCAATCGATCAGACTGTGATAATTATACACACAATCAAGCAAGTGATATCTTTAATAAAGGGTCACTTATTACTACGAGTTATATAGGCACTAAATACTAAGTTCATAGGTATGCAGAGAAAAGTAGAGACATGAGGTTCACCGGATTGGCCTACTGTAATTAGCTGAGACTCGGAAATAGTTGTTTTATGGTGTTTGGGCAGTACACACAATGGAATAGAACTGCTAGTGTGGTGACTGACTGAAGTTTAGATAAAAAGGGGGACACAGTAACACGGTGTGCCTTACAGCCTTGGAACTTGAGGAAAACGGAGGAGGAGAGCTGAGGTACGAGTGTGCTGCACTGAGAGTGGTCCTCAGATCACAGCAGAATCACTGGCCCGTTACCCCAGGAACACCACAAACACCGGCCTGGACAAATGAGCACAGAGATCCTCAGTCTCTCGTGAGAATGGTGGCCTCTCCTAGTTCTTCTTTAGCAGTGGCTGGTGACGTCAGAGTATTCAATGTGCAAACTCAGTAAATCTGATAGTTAACAACACCTCTGTCAGATTACTGTGTAGGAGTACTCAGTAGAAATAAAACAAAACAAACTGAACAAAAAGACGACGAACTGAGACACGAAACAAAAACATAACTAAAATCTAAAATCTGCAGTGCAAAGGGAGAGAGGACTCTGCTTCTTCTTCTTTTGGCAATCACATGTTCTCTCTGTCACTCCCTTTTCTTCCTCTTTTTTCTAGTTATATGCACAGACCTCTTGTGGGTAAAGCTAAGGTGGGGAAAAAGGGTTTTGTGCTCAATTCCTAATTCCTGAGTAATCTCTGTCTGCATGTCTGCTCAAATTCACCACAAGATGGCTTCACATACACAGATTTCTAGTGAGAGTAGTTGCATAGCATTAAGTAGAAGAACATTATAAGCATGTAATTTCATATTTAAACATTATTCCTGTTTAAATAATAACTATTACAAGAAAACTACTGAGCTTACAAAGTATTACACCTAAAAGTATTCTAATTTCACACTATGGTTACATAAAGCTACTTGAAACCTCTCACAATCTTACATCTGAAAGAAACATGATTACTAGAAAGAGGAAATGACATTTCTTAGGAAAAGAACATAATTACAAAGTTAATCACACAAACAATGCTTAACTGGAAAGAAGTTACATAGTATAGAGTAAAGGATATGCTGAGTACATTATCTAGCTGCTATTGATATTTCTGTAGATATTTATGGCAGAACCTCTATTATGCTTGAAGTATGGCATTTTCCATGAATATAGTCATCCAAAGTTACAGACTTACACAGTTGTGCTTCTAAGGGAAAGAAAACATGATAACTCAAAGTAAAAACTATATGAGGTTTAAGCATGATTCAAGGGAACATATGGATTTACTAATGTTATGATATTTTTAGAAAAATAATAAAATAATTAATCAAAGATCAACTCAATAATAATCTCAATTAGTGAAATTGGGTTACAGGTTCAGAATCACAAAATAGCTAGCAACTGTAAGGAATTTTAGCATTAATTATATATATAAACCAATCTCTTTACTGAAGAACCCTTGAAGAACCATCTTTTTTAAAAGGGAACAATGGGAAAAATTCCACTTTCAAAACGGAATCAGTTGGTGTCTTCATTCCCCGAGTTAAGTGTTGTTAAAAGTAAAGGTGATGTAACATAGAGCTAAACATGCTCTGTTCCATCTTTTTAGGAATGTGTCGTAGACATCATATCTAAAAAGACAATATATGATACAAGAAAACAATAAAGTTTATAAGGTAAAAGATCAAATATCATGTTTTGGCCCTTTTTTACTGGCATTTTAAGTTAATGAACTTGTTAGGACTGACTCTTCAGAAAAAAAAGCAATATTTAGATTTTTAGTGTCCACATTTTGATGTAAAACAGTAGTTTGACTAAACCAATTATATTGTTGAACTAAATTGTGATTGGACTAAATGTTTTATTTAAAGATCAGGAATGAAGGTGAGATGCTGCAGCACAGTTAATATTTCTGATGAATAAAATTCTGTAGCAGAATCAGCTCAGTGTGCAGGGGAGCAGCACCCTGCCCTGTTCTCCATATAATAACAGACCTCTCTCTCTCTCTCTCTCTCTCTCTCTCTCTCTCTCTCTTTCTCTCTCTCTCTCCACATATAAAAGCTGGAATCAGGGTTTCCAGGGCTGCAGTGAAATCAGTGCTCCCGGTCCACTAAGGTCTCATGAGCTGTAAGTCTGCTCGCAAGCCAGCCGTCTCCACTTTGGTTAATATGGACGCTGCGGGGGAAAAGCCCCCCCAATGACTACCTGGTCTGGTCCCTCTGCAGCACCTTGTACATCAACTTCTGCTGCCTGGGCCTCATAGCCCTCATCTACTCCATCAAGGTGAGAAACAACAGCAAGGTTATCTCTCTCTCTCTCTCTCTCTCTCTCTCTCTTTCTTTGTGTGTACTAACCTATAAACTGTAAGGGCCTGTATATAGGCCAATAGTTTCTCACTTTCATAACTACATAACTTATGTAATAGATTCATAGTAGTTAATGAAAAATGTATGAATATTATTATAAAAATAAGGCTGCAGTTTAGGGGGTTAACAGTTGTTTCTTTGATTTAAATGAACAAGAACTAGAAGAAGAAGGTAAATCTTATGTGAATACCTGCTCTCAGGTAGAGTATGCCAGCTGCAAGCTAAAAGCTCAAATAGAGCTGTGTATCATGGTACCTTCTCATGACCAAATGTTCAGCAAGCTGAGTTACAGCTGCTGCTGCTGCTGCTACCAGGTCAGACTTAAAAACAGCAGTAGACACATTTGAGCAGGAAGTGGTTTAACCTGAACTGTACATACACTGAAGCGAGTGGTGTACTGAATATAAAGGTAAGAAGGCAACATTAGAGACTCAGCAATAGATGACATCACAGGGGTACATGAAACTATCACTCTCAGTACAAAGTAATTTCTTGCCAATTTGCAACGTGTCACATTCTAGGCTGGAGATTCCTCTCCTCGTCTGCAGAGGTCACTCTCTTCTGAGTTGTAATTGCTGGCTGCTCACCTGAAGCTTGTTTTATCATTACTCTCTCTGTATGTCCTGTATTTTGTTAGGGTCTTTGTGAAGTCTTTCCAGATCTTTCTTTGCAATTCTAAGCCTTGTTACTCATTGTTCTTGGTGTTTTTGTGATCTTTGACCTTCTGCTTGTCTCCTGGTTTTTATGCTTTACTGGATTTTGCCTTTATTCTGGTTACCACGGCCTGTTTGTAATTTCCCTGACTGTAATAAAGTTCTCTCACGCACGTCAGTTCTTCGTTGTCAAACAACCCTCAATCCTCAATGACATAGATCCAATACATTTAAATCAACGTTTAAGAAAACAAAAGTTCTCTTTAAAGAACGGTTCTTCCTCAAGAAAGACCCTAGATAGCCAGGATCTACATTACCCAGAATTCATAGCAAAGGTATAAACTGTTCAATTATGCTGCAGACACAGAACGATACATGATGAAGAGAGCAGAAATTGGGCCACCAGCGCCCTTTCTTTGTGGCATTTGTATGCTCTCCCTGTGTCTGCGTGGGTTTCCTCCCACAGTCCAAAGACATGGAGTCAGGCCAATTGGACAAGCGAACATGCCCCTAGGTGTGAGTGTATATGTCTGTGTGTCTGCCCTGTTATGGACCGCTGACCTGTCCAGGGTGTTTCCTGCCTTCTGCCTAATATCCCGCTGGCATAGGCTCCATCGTTCCCCCCTATGACCCAGAAGGATGAGCAGCTTAGATAGAGTGTAGAGATACAGGAAATACATTATTAGAACAATACAGATTAGAACATATTAGAATAATACAATTATTGTTAAAGAAATGTTTTCAAACATAAAAATAAAAGTGTAATAAAATCCTTCTTGGCTCTCCAGTCTTGTTGAATGTTTGCCACCTGATGAGGTTCTTTTAAATGACTAGAACTTCTCTATCAGTTCTCCACCAATCTCCTACAACACTCTGCAGACACTTAGAGAACTGAGGTCTGCAAGTGCATCTTTAGTCAAACAAAGTTAGAAAAAACGAATCCTTGAAAATTAAAAGCCGTCCACATTAAAGGCTTTAAATGGCATGTTTAAGGCAGCTTTAAATAGCAGTGCTCTGTAGGTGGTTATATATGCACAACATGTGCAATAAAACATCATTAAAACTCAAACCGCTCCACAAGCTTACTGTGTGTATAATTATCACACAGGTCTATTTGCAGTGAGGACTGAGGTTAAAAACCTCAAGAGCAGTGAATCCTTTATAGAGAGCTGTGAAATACTCCAACATACAATGAAGAATGGGATTTACTAATAATTCCTCAAACTTTAATTTTTTATTCATATAATCATAAATGTCTGTCAGACACATAGATGATTGTATAACAGTGTTTATTGTGGAAGTCTGCGCTGTTCGTTTATTTACAACTACAATAATGCTAATTTCTGATAGCAACCCAGTGACTTTTTCCATGTTCATTTAGCATTGAGCTAATGGGTTTAATACTACTCAGCTCTGGCCCACACACAGACATTTGAAGCTTTTATCTGACATTCAGGTATCATTTTTTACTTCGTACATCATAGTTTTACCCTGATTCTTTCAGTAATCAGTGCAACTTAAGATCTAATTCTGAATGTTACTGAATTAGCCTGTTACATGTCGAGTTGCATGAGGAGTTTATCAAGACTTCAAGTCATAAATCTAAGACTAGAAGGGACCCTGTGTTAACTGTGTAAGCTTCTGCTGGATTTAAGAGGGAGAGAGAGAAAGAGAGACAGTGTGTATTATGATACAGAGAGAGGGAGCATAGTAAAACAGAGACAGAGAGTACTGTGATAGAGGGAGAGAGAGAGAGAGAGAAAAGAGAAAGAGAGACAGAGCATATTGCGATACAGGGAGAGAGTGAAAGCGTAGTACAACAGAGAGAGGGAGAGAGAGATAGAGAGTGGGCGTAGTGTGTTAGAGAGACAGAGAGATAGACAGAGAGAAAGAGAGAGTTGTGCACTAGAGAGAGAAAGATGGGGTGATAGACAGGGCAAGTGAAAAAATGCCCAAGTGCCTGAAATTTCTGTAAAAAAGCAAATCTTCTCCACTGTAAAACAATAATCATCTTAACTTATACAAGTGAATAAACAGCCTGTTTTACAATGTTTAGTTCATTGAACATCAAATAGTGAGTGAACAGAACAATGAGTGTTACATTGTGTTCACTCATTACTTGGAGTACAATAAAGTAAAAATGAAGGCAGGTTATTTACTATTTTAAGTTAAGTTAAAACTCCAAATTAGTTTTTACAGTGTAGATAAAAATCACTCATTCTAAAACCAGTCCAAGCTGGGCTCGACGCTGTACATGAAAAAATGTTTACCTAATATTTTCTCGTCCTCGTCAGGCTCGGGTCAGGCTGCAGACCTCCAGGTTTACCAGGGCACAAAATCACCAAGACGGAAAGCTTTGCTTTAGTGATATTTTATACTTAAAATATTGTTTCTTGTTTGGTTACTGGTGAGAAGAATGAATGAATACTACTGAATTTACAGAATGAATATTTAGCTTTCAAAATATATAAAAGCTGTAGATAAAATGTTTCTGTGTTAGCAGGACATTAGAGAGGAGACGTGTAGAAGAGCTGTTGATTTTGAGAGAGAGAGGAAGTGTGCAGAGGACTTTAATAATGACATCTTTAGGGAAACATCTCAGATTTTGACATTTATTTTTATTTCTCTTACAAACCATATTTTCATTCTTCTTTTGTTTAGTTAGTAAACAATTTTGTTTATACGACAATCAACACTGCAGAATCAGCGCACATTTTGTTGATGTCTAAATCCTAATGCTAAATAAAAAGTAGCAGCTGCAAACTTTTCTTCTGCATAGTTCTGTCGCTGATAAATAAACAAAGAAATGAGCAGCGGTGTAGGTGTATTTATAGACTTGTTTGGATGGAACTGCGGTTTCCTCTGTGGTGACTCGCACAGACCTGAGAAGCCTGCGGAGATCTTTAGTTGGGACTCCAGAGCTCTTTATTATTGATATGCACTGCTGGGAAAGTAGCAACCATGCTGAATTTCACCTGTAAGCTGTTTGCCTGACTGTGGACTGATGGTGGCCCAAGAAATTCTTCAGCAGCTTTAAATTTTAGTCAATTGAATGTGTGTATTTGACCCCTGAATCTGTCTTATTCATCACTGTTCTAAAGGTTCACAAACGGGTTTTCATCAGTGAGATGCATAAATATGAGATATAGAGGCACAAATCTTGCAGAAATTATGATCAATCAAAAAGGTTTAAACATTTTTATACTGTGGTAAAGAGAACTGTTTGTGTGTAGAAAATATATAAAAAGTTTTTATAAGCCAGGTGTTTACTTACTTACACAAAACTTACTTAAAAAAAACAGGAACCGCGTCACTATATAACAACCATCACCACCCACCTGGTCATGTTCTGCACAAAACCGCATAAATGTTTTAACCACAGGATGAATTCTTGAGAAATGATTTGTTCTGTTCCTGTAGTAAGGGTTTTATAGTGTCTATGTGTTTTTCAGAGGTGGGTAGAGCAGCTTCACCACATATTGTTCCTTCTGTATCATTGCATGTATCTTTACATGCAACAGTACCCAGTAAAACACTGATTACTTAGACCACAGAAACAGATGTTTTGTCAGGCTTTGTTGTTCCCTTTTTTATGCACTTTTCCACTTTAATGTGCTCTAAAATAAAACGATAAAGCTCCAGAGTGAAAGATGTGACCAATCACAAAGCTAAAACTTAAATTTAATCCTTTAACATAAGCACAGTAAAATACCTTTACAACAGACATTTGGGGGTTAATTGCTTCAACTTGTTTTACACTGAAAAATATTTCATTTGTTTTGGAATTAATTGTAATTTGCAACTTAGATCAGAAATTATGAACATCTACAGGCTGATCAAGCTGCCTGTTTAAGATTAAGCAGCAGTGACACTGAAAATAACGCACCACAAGTATAACGCACCCACTAGATAGAAAAACAAACAGAGAATACATGAATGAGAACAGCCCCAAAACATGAGGTAACCTAAACAAAAAACACAATGACAAAAGAGTGTGATTAATCATAATCCTGTATATTTTGGCATTTTTGAAACAGTTTCAGTGGAAAAATAATGATATGAATGAAACAATGTTGGAGTTGGAATTGGATTTGTGATCCCCTATGCATGAAATTACAATGTAAAATGTGTGTTAACATGCAGTTAAGCTGCCCATTAAAGGGCTAATCATTTAGCGTCCCCAAAGTTTTGATTATTTTTGTTTATTTATATACTTGTGTTTACCACTTCTTGGGTTAACAATTTGTAAGACACTAACAGCAGA